CTCTCTCTCTCTCTCTCTCTTCTTTCTTGTGCACTCTCTCTCTCTCCCTCTCTCTGTCTCTCTCTCTGTCTCTCTCTCTGTCTCTCTCTCTCTGTCTCTCTCTCACTGTCTCTCTCTCTCTCTCTTTCTCTGTCTCTCTTTCTCTGTCTCTCTTTCTCTGTCTCTCTCTCTCTGTCTCTCTCTCTCTGTCTCTCTCTGTCTCTCTCTCTCTGTCTCTCTCTCTCTGTCTCTCTCTCTCTCTGTCTCTCTCTCTCTCTCTCTCTCTCTCTCTCTCTCTCTCTCTCTCTCTCTCTCTCTCTCTCTCTCTCTCTCTCTCTCTCTCTCTCTCTCTCTCTCTCTCTCTCTCTCTCTCTCTCTCTCTCTCTCTGTCTCTCTCTCTCTGTCTCTCTCTCTCTGTCTCTCTCTCTCTCTCTCTCTCTCTCTCTCTCTCTCTCTCTCTCTCTCTCTCTCTCTCTCTCTCTCTCTCTCTCTCTCTCTCTCTCTCTCTCTCTCTCTCTCTCTCTCTCTCTCTCTCTCTCTCCCTCTCTCTCTCTCTCTCTCTCTCTCTCTCTCTCCTCTCTCTCTCTCTCTCTCTCACTCTCTCTCTCTCTCTCTCTCTCTCTCTCTCTCTCTCTCTCTCTCTCTCTCTCTCTCTCTCTCTCTCTCTCTCTCTCTCTCTCTCTCTCTCTCTCTCTCTCTCTCTCTCTCTCTCTCTCTCTCTCTCTCTCTCTCTCTCTCTCTCTCTCTCTCTCTCTCTCTCTCTCTCTCTCTCTCTCTCTCCTTCTTCTCCGACTCCTTCTTGCCGACCTTCTTGAGCTGCTCACGATCAGAGTGAGACAGGTTCGGCTGCGGCACTCGCGAGGCTTTGTACAGGGCCATTGCTTCGCGCTTGAAGCTCGCCAGGCTGTACTCTTCATCCCTGGACAGTTTAGGGCCCTGCTGGAAACCATGTGCCTTCAGGTGCCAGATCCTGGGTTCAAATTTGGGAGGGGGGACCTCCGTCAGCCATAGACGGCTCTCGCTTCGAGGACTGCCTCCACCAGCGAAGAGAGAATGCCATTCTTTCGATGCCCACCTCGACGTCCTGCATAACTCTCTGGTTGGCTTTGCCAGCCGACGGAACAAAGCCCGGCCCGAGTCTAAGGAGGTCCGGCGCCTCACTCGACAAACAGTTGTCTAAGTCAAGAGCACATCCAGAGCGATCTTGCATCGTGACATTGTTGCGGTTACCACCTGTATAGCTGTAGGCAGCTGTCAACGGGAGAGGCCCACGAACGACTGCTGCTGGCATAGACGCTCTACCTTAAGGGTGAGCCGTCGTCGGGAGGCAAGTCGTTCCGCATGACACACAGCATTGCACAAGGCACGTAGCCAAATATAGTCTTGCTTGGAGTACGAGCGCAGGTCGGCCCTCCACGCCGTGAGTAGTCCATAGCTGTGGGACTTCCACCGAAATTTGTCCTCGATGGCATCCCTCAGAAGGTTGCAAACATAGGCATCCCGGCGGGTAGCTCTTGAAGGACGGGAACCTATCGGCTGGGGCACGCTGCGCTGAAAAAATATGGGACTAAATGTTTCCGCCGACATTGAAGCAAAAAATGGACCTGACAAAGACACCGCTCCAGTTTCCATGCCCACTTCACGAACCACCAGGGCATCTGAGGGGAAAACCGTTTCGAAATTTTGAAGGGCGCTTCACGCAGCTTCATTAAACGTTTCGGTCTTTATGACCATCATCAGGAATGAGGTGGACATGGAAAGAACAGCATTATAAAAGAGGGAGGCAAGCAAGCAAAGCGCGGTACATAGTAACAGCGCGCGTAGAGAAGTGCAAAGCACGTCATGGCGGGTGTGCATTGCTACAATCCTGTACATGACAACACAAGCACAAACGGCGAGGAAAATAGATACTGCGCTACAGCAGTGATACAAGCACAGTTCCAGTCTCACATCACCAGTGAGGTATGTACAGCCCCGCGCGGAAATGGTGAGCACTCCCCAGGGCTCATGACGCACGCGTTTTGGCGTTTTAGCGGTTTTCCGATGCCTTGGCGGGTGTGGTAGTCACCCCCTAGCCTGGCAGGAGGGATTCACACTACACACAATCCCCATCACCATTATTATCACCCTTGGTCACAATGTGATGTGTCACAATGCAGCACAAATCTGTACTGATGTGTTGCTGGCGAATCGTGCTGTTCTTCTGCCCAGGCTACGCTCTATACTCTCAACATCTTTTTCCTCTTAAAATCACGCTGATTCTGTCACCCCATTTCCCTCGCGCTATTGAAATGTGCCTCCATCACCTCTGCCCTCTCCTCTCAAGACCTTCCGTATATATTCTATTTCCTCCGTATACAAAAACTGCGTGACATTTTTTCAACGGTGTTTTTGAGCAAAAACCTGCTCAACGAACCGCGCCAAAGGCTGTCATCGATTACCCACATTCATGTTGAAGTAGGTTGTGATGGTTGATCCCGAGCAGATTCTCCACGGAAACCATGCGTGTGCGGACGTTGCCGACAGGAACTCACGAGTTAAATGAAAACAAACTTAACACTTACTTTTTCGAAACTGACACCGTGACGAAGTCGAGCTCGCGGCTGGATCCTGGAACACAGAGTCACGCAGCACTCGCTGCCATGAAACTGGCCAGGGTCGTACTTGCGGTGCGCGCCCCATATGCAACGTGAGAACATAAATTGGTTCTGCTCGCACGGCAAGATAAAACATTTCAGTCGTTGCGCAATCAGCGCTGACTCCGGATCGGAATGTCGACGACCTGGCTTTCTTCGCCTCTCTCCAGTCAGACGTCTCCGTCGTCATATAGGGAATCGCAGGGACCTCCTCAAAGCCGTTGTAGAATTCTGGGAGGATTAACCTGCCGAGAAAATGCGAAGCGTGTGGATGTGCTTGAGCCACTCGTTTCCCGGCATAATGGAGGTCGCGGGTTGGAACGACTGAATATAGTCGACACCGATTCGTGCAGAGCTCTGGAGATGAAGAGGACGTAGCCAAAGTTCCGCGTCGGATCATCACTGCAGCTGAAAAGAATCTGAACGAAATGGGAGCGGAAGCAGCGACTGTGACTCGTCAGGTGACAATGACAGGAGCGACGAAGACTCTGAATAAACTCAATCACATTCGTCTGAGTTGCTTTTTTTCTTTGTGTCTAGCTTGTAAACAGGTTAGACAATGCCACGAGTGTTATTCCGAGTCAAACGGAACAATTCCAGAGCTGTGCCCAGCCTTCAAAAAAGTCACGAAGCTTTTTTTGTATACGGAGGAAGTAGTGATTGTTAGTCTTGGTCATATGCTGTCTGATGAAGTGTTTTGACACGAAACTCGGAGTAACAGCGGAAAGAGACTTGTTTGATTCATTGCTGTGTAATATGTTTAGATTATAGACCGGTTAGGAGGTCTATACAGGATATATAGACCGAGTAAAAGACCGAGGTCCCCAGAGGTATTTTACGATATATCCTGCATAGACCAACTATGAGGTCAATAATTTAGTATCGTGTTCTCCACGCAATAGTTTCTCTTCATATACGACATATCATTGTAATTCTAGCACTGTAAAGTACCGTTGATCCGCCCCACGCCATGTCGTTTCCCAGCTGGATTTTCGGCGGGGACGGGAATTAGATCAAGGCTGTCGAGTGCAGTACGATGTACAACAACGTAGAAGTTCAGACTCGATGTGCTGGATTGTGCACATTTTGATCCTGGATTGGCAAGTATTGTGTACAGCAGTGCATGCGTCGGTTCAACGTTGTATTTTCGTTGTATACTGAGCGTAACTTTCACTCGAATCGAGAGTTGACAGAACTTTGTCCTGCAGCAGGTGAGCAGATGCGGAACAAGACATCAGTGGAGTCCACCAAAGCTGCAATGACAACTGAAACAACTCAGTGTCGTGCAGGCGGCATGCAGTCACTGTAACTGCGAGTGATTTTCACTTTGCGTGGGACTGGACTCTCGATCGACCAGGGAGTCCTTAAAAAAATTTCCGACTCCCCGCTCGACTTGTACTGCCATGTGTACGGATAACGGTGTACGGTATTCGTTAGTGCAAACGAGCTGGTCGCACAAACGAGCCGAGTTTCTGGCAAGCGAGCTAACGAGTACCCGGTGAGATCGTTTCAACACTAATATATAGACAAAGTGTGTGGAGTCTTTGCTGCAAATAGTGCTCAATACCTGAAAAAGAGCAGGGCTTACCACACGGGGCAGAACAACAGAGACCAAATATATTTCTCGTAACTCCGAGTTTCTTGATATATGCCAGGAGAGGGTGGGTCTTGTGGCGCTGTATTAAAAGCTGTTTGTGAATGTGGGGACTGTATAGGTTTCAAGGCTAGCTGTGTTATTTAGGGAGAAGGCTGTGTGCAGAGTGTGTGGTTGTTGTAGGCATGGGGCTGTACGGCTAGCAGCTTAAAGGGGAAGTTAAGGCAAAATTAAAATTTCACCAGTTGTAGTCTTCGGGGTGCTGTGTCGAATGGTCGTGGTCCAAGGAAGCTGAGACGCTCCCTTCCTACTTGAATCCCAATCGAACTCGCGCACTTCCAACGAAACTGGGTGACAGCGCCTCAGCTTTCTCGGACCAAGACCATTCGACTCAGCACCCCGAAGACTACAACTGGTGAAATTTTGATTTTTGCCTTAACTTCCCCTTTAATATTAGTGCAGAATGTGTTGTTATAGAGGTTATGACTGAGCTGGCAATGTGATGTTAGCGCAGAGCACATATGGCTGGCCTGGGCAGGGTGTTGTGAGCACGGTGTGTACTCGGTGCAGTCAGGAGGCTGAAGAGACATATTAGATCATACCGTGGTAATTGAGGAGATACTTGTTCTCTTGTCAGCACTTGTTGATGCTGGATGGTGATACTTGTACATTTCCCTGGTCCAGAGGGAACACCGCTTTATGATGTTAGTGTACGCCCGGGCGCGGTCTTTTATCCTCCACTGGACTTCTTACTGGGCGATAGATAGTGTTTATATTTAACGGGTACTTACGAACACATTGTCCCATCCAAATCCAATTCCCTTGAGAATCGCAGGTCTCTGCTCGTGTTATTGTTTTACTTGTATATCCAGGGTTGCAAGTGACTATGCCATCATATGTGATGGATTGAGAATTGCGCACACGAGATTGACCATAGCACGCTGCAATTATGAACCACATGTACAAAGAACAGTCGTGATATAAAAAAATTTGCACGGCACATTTTATATCTTATTGATTATCAGAACCTTCCACCTTAAATGTGAATATTCCAATAATATTATGGAATCTACAACTAACGTCTTTGGTTTGGGTCCTGCCGTTGACAGACATCAATGTGTTCCTACTCATTTGTCGTTCAGAAACTTGATTTTGTATGCAAGCGCAAACTGCAGCTGCTGGATTTGGTCGAGGAAAGGTAATCCTTTTTTTAGAACACGGAGGCTCCACTGCGGCTAATTCATATCACGATCAGTCACCACAATCACACCAAGGTCGCTAACTATGCAAGCTCTATTCAAAAGAAATGAAATTTCCAAATTGTCGCCCTTGGGGCTTCATCAGTGAGTAAAATAATAGTCAAATGAAACTGGCTCTGTGGCAAACTAACTTATAATAGCGGAGCATTGATACATTGAGACATTGGCACTATAGAAGTGAGGAGAGGAGAGCACGAGGCGTCATACATTTAGCACTATAATAAATGAATGGCGAGGACAACAAGAGGTGCACACTGGTTACATGGTGATAATCACAGAACGTGAGAGAGAAGCGTGAGAGAAGTGTGAGAGAAGTGTTAAGGGAACGCAAGCCAGAGTGCAACATAAGAGTGAAACGTGTAACGTCTAACGTGGAAGTGAAACAACCGCACATGCACAAACTCAAACACAAACGCACACACACACAATCCCACACACACACAAACACACACACACACACACACTCTCACCAACACAAAAAAACACACACACACATAAGTGTCCTATTCCGTTAAATACCATCCCTCGTCCTCATTGATTTCGGGCCTTCTGTCCCTGATTTCAAACGCCTCCATTATCTTTCGGCTTGGGAGTGATGTCTCAGCACCCACAATCTGGGCGTTGTTGAAAGGCTCGAACCTCGTTCAGTTTCATTTCATTATTATTTTACTCCCTGATGAAGCCCCAAGGGCGAAAGTTTGGAGATTTCATTTCTTTTGAATAGAATTTGCAGCGTCAACGACCTTTGTGTGGTGGTGGGGACTGATCGTGATAAAGGTAAACCTTGCTATATAAAAATTACAAAGGGATCGGGTAAATCTTACCTGCGCAGGGTTCTTGGCCTTGAAATGTCCACTCTGCTTGATCGGCTCTGTATTCACAGGTTGCTTTTACATGCAGGTCCGTTTTGGAATAATAGAATTTATTGCATTCCACGTTACCACTTCTATCCACCCCACGGGAGTTTGTAAAGGTATTTCTGCAATCTGATACGAAGCAGGGAATATCCGAATAAAAACTCAAATTACAACGTGATTTAACTCGAGTTTGCCAATGTGCAGTAAAATGACAGAAGAAAAGTGAGTACATAATACATGTAGATGATATGCCAAATAAGCGCTCGGAAAGTTGAGAGTGCATGTGTAATGGGCAGCCGAGTGATAGGCGCGGTGAAATCAACAAGAATTACTTTTATTCTACTTTCAGGTACACACCTGAGATATAATTATTAGTGAAAGAAGAAGCGGCAAAATAAATAACTTTCTCTTTGGTGCTCACCTAGAGGTTGACTCCTTCTTCTTCGAGTTAGCTTTCATTGCTATCTAATCTAATCTAATCTAATCTAATTAAAACAGAAATGCGCAGCTGCTTTTATGCAGCAGACGCCGTACGCTTATATACGGAGATACACTAAATATACATCAGGCAAAGCTCCGTATTAGTTCCGTACTACTTCCGTATTGGTCGGCCAACTGAGACATTTTGGTGATTTTCTCGATTTGTTGGCAAAACACGAAGCCACCTTTTAGCTTGGCGCGGCTCCCATAATGTTGCTCTTGCAACAGGGCTTGCACTTCCGCCCGTTTCATAAAATGTGTTCCGGTTGCAGACATCGGACCTATCTTGTCGAACACTCATTGCAAGTGGAAGAGATCAACCTGGAATGGCGGGTAAAGATCTTTTGAAGAATCAATCGAAAATTTGTGCCCATTCCTGAATTTTTAGGAGGGAAGTGAAATTCCAAAACAAGTGCTCTATGATGCTATGAACTTTCAAGGTGGGAACGCCCTTCGCATATACACTACATCTGACCAGCTGGAAACATGCAGCTCTCGATACCTCTTCATGCCACGAGATTCCGCAGAACCATAATATTGGAAGAATGCACTGCAATGATGTTTGAAAGTCAACAAAACTGTGGATACTTACTGATGCAACTGCCCTGCCAGTCCCATTGACCATTTTGTCCACAAGTTGCGCTATCTTCCATATTTTTGGCATGACCATCAGAGCATCTTACAATTCCTTGGTCGGTAATTGATGTGACAGAAGGCAGATGATTATATCTGCAAGCTGATGTGAGATACCAGACAAATCATAGAATACACTAGATCAAGTGGATCAAGTTAAAAAAAATCACATCTGGCGTAAGACTAGAGACCGCGTTGTCCGCAAGTTCAAGCGTATTTGTGTTTTGTTCGTCGGCACTCCGTGAATCCACGTTGCGCTATAACAAACGACATATTACTGTGACGGCAACACTCGACGTGATCGCCAACGATGAGTACGATGACGGAAACGACACTAGCAGAGGAGTTTCTAGCAGTGAGTTGAGTGAGGGAGAGAGCCGATGATAGGTATGGGAGAGCGTAATAGTCAGTGTGGGCGTGTGTTTCGACCTCGTAAGTCTCCTGTGTATAATCATTTGGTATCTCGTGATGAATGTTGCCAAGTGTATTCTGATTCATGTTTCTCCTTTTTGTGTCGTGGACGTCATGGTGATCAGCTACAGGTGAAAGTGTTGGAGTCTGTTTTCCAATGCATTCATGAGCCTCACCATTGTGTTGAAAAAGAGAGTATTATCTATTTAAAATTGTTCAGCTAGTAGAATGGTGTGTTAGCCTGGCCTTGTTGGGCCAGAATTTTGTCAATAAGGTTGTTTCATAACTGAATGTTGTACTTTTGAGTGCTTGATTGTTATCGTTCACGCAAATTGTTTTTTTTTCTCTTTCCAGGTGGTTCACTTCCCTCACTGATCCTTTGACTTGGAAGTTCCCCCAATCCTTTCAAAATTAATCACATTATTATTATTATTCACTAGTTTGAGGAAAATACACAAACGGGAAATTATTGTTATTATTGTAACATGGAAACTGTGGGCACAAGTTGTGCGATCGAATCCACCAAATAAACCAGATACCAGTAAAATTGATCATTTTGGAAGAACGTCGGCCCTGTCCTGGGTCATAGCTGATGAGGAAAATACAAAATGTGTAATAAGTATGGTCTTCTCGAGGTGCAGAGTACTGTCCTTGTCCATTGTTTGGACTAAGCACGTGCCGAATATAGCAATTTTCTTCCTATTAATCAGTTTGCACTCAGTGACACGCGACATTGAAACCCAATAAAAAAGCTCTTCACATGGTAAACCAGTGATTTGCTGTGGATCCTTTTTTTCTTTTCATTCAAAAGGTTTTGTCGTCGGATTCGTTCTTGTTCGTGTTGAAGTTTCCGCTAACAGCCTTGCCGTTGGAGTTTACAGCACGTTGCCTTCTGCCTCATCCAGTTTGCGCCTAAGCGTTGTCGTGGTAATGGCACGGTTTCAATGATTTAACGTTGTCTTCCATTCTTTTTCATTTCTATTTATTTGGCGCATGACAAATTCCCCACAGTCAGGAAAAGGAAAGAGAAAAGACATTATATGACAGGTGCTCTGCAAAAACCGACCTTAGGTGCTATTTTGACGAATTTGAGTTTGTGCTGAAAAGAGAAAAAAACGCCAGACCCACCAGGACTCGAACCCGGGACCTTGCTTGTCATGAGCAATGCTCTAACCACTGAGCTATGGGACCGGGCTGAACCTAGAAGGCGCTGACAATTTCTTCACTCCAAAGGGAGCTCACAACACGTGCCACACATACTGATGGCACTTGGGTCTTTCTCCCTCCCCCAGGGGACCAACCACGGTCAGTTTCTGGACCCTACCAGAAGTGAAAGAGAGTGATAAATTTATGAAAGGACTGGGGGACTGAGTCCTGGTGGGTCTGGCGTTTTTTTTCTCTTGTCAGGCAGTTCACTTCCCCTACTGTTCCATGAATTTGAAGTTCTCCCAGTCCTTTCATAAATTTCCTATCCAAATGAACCTAGGATGGCAGTCGTGAGTCAGTCAAGTGTCAAGTTCGGCAAGAAGCGTGTGTTCCTAGTTGGAACAATCAACTTCAATCCTATCCAAGGTTCGAATAAAATACTACTTGTAAGAACTATCCTTAACATGTAGATGCACTTCTGCTGCGTCTGCATGTTCAATACATAAGAGACTTGAATAACTTCCGTCACTACATGGCCGAACCACAGCAGTCTTGGTTGCCTGCAGACTTGCGATAGTGGGGTCTGCTCGGTTCTGGCATAGGACGCTGTGTTACAGATTCGTTGTTGGTACGTGATACCAATGGTGGTACGTAGTTTCTTCCTGTGCCATACATTGACGACGTCAGTTAACGTTTTGCGATAGGGTCCAACGCGCACAATTGTACAGCAAGACAGGCATTATCAGGCAGGAAAACATACACAGTCTGGAATTCAGATTGTGGCGTTTCTATGGAATGCTTGCAAATGCCCGATTGGCTGCAGACACTCTGGCTGCTATGTCTTCTGCTGTGCCTAGCATACTCCCCAGCAGCTTCACCGATTTCCAGGAATCATCTTCCTTGGTCACAGTGAAGTATCGAGTTTTTGCAAAGTTAAGCTTAAGATTGTCATGGGAGGAAACAGGTTCACACACACAGACGGTTTCTTCCACCGATGATCGCTTGTTCTGATGGGCAGTGGTGTCGTCTGCGTATTGGGTGAAAGTTGCTGGTAGGTCTGACGCAGGTAGAGCTTGCTCTTGGATCTTACGCATGGAACCTTTGGCGTAAGTTATAAACATTATCGGTGACATTGGGTCGCCCTGGACGCCGCCGATGTTCGTTGTAAATGGTTTGCCTATTTGTTCGCCAAGTTTCGTGCGGGCTGTTGTGTTTGATACTAGGACTGCAGTGATGGACGTTGGTGCGCCAGCAGTGGCTAACCTCTCTAGAGCAACCCGATGAATGACAGTGTCAAACGCACCGCTGAAGTCCAATAGTGCCGATGAATATGACCAGTCGCCAAGTAGTGCGCACTCAAACACCGTCAATATTAGATACTTATTGTAAGAATTGCGAGAAAGCATATTTGCCAGGTGCCTAATTATCTTGTCGTAGGGCGGGGAGCAGGTCACACTTTTCTTTCGCAGCGTCCTAAAAAGGGGAACACCAGCCTTTCTCACCGCCTGTTGGTGCGACATCAGGTCGTGACCCACACACAACGGACTCTCGCTGAAGGTCAGTTTGAACCAGTACCGGAAAACTGCGTCGTTTGTGGACATCGACTTACGGATGCGTATTGGTAGGGGCGAGGTTCAATATCGGTGGTGGTGGCCTGTCTGCCAATCTTCTCAATCGTGGTGCCTTAGGGAATGGAAATACCAGCCTGCGACATCTCTTTGATGCATGTTGTCGGCACTGCACTCACAGACTCAGGCAATCCAAACCATACTATGCTATTTGAACGCGACATAACATGAGCCGAGCCAAGCTAATAGGTGGCTGAGGCATAATTTTTGGAAAATTCTTTTTTCATGCCAAAGTGATGTATATATATCCAACTTCCATCATGGAAATTTTGGTGCCCATCTGAAATGTGTATGTGCCATAAATAAGCATACATTGTGCACATGTCACAGAATGGCTGGTATCAATGGCACTAAGGATTCCAAGACATTCCGAAACTCCAAGAAAACATGGGACACCAAGTGGAGACGAAGCTTAGCAGGTGTGCAATCAATACAAGAAGAATAAGTACTTGTGTTCCAATTAGAAGATCTAAGAAAGAAGAAATAACAGATCTTCATATTAAAATTTTCATCCTGACTCATGTCATTTTATCACGCAATAAGTATTTTCATATCCTTCATCATGATGTTGTGACTATATTTTTCGCTGGGTTGGGGAACGTCGCATCTTACCAAGACAGTCCGTCATACTCTCTCCAATCACCTACGCCAGGATGAATTAATCCTTTCATGTAGCTCGTAGTGCTGTGCCAGAGATGTCCTACATATAGCCCCAGTAGACTGCACATTGCTAACAAGCGGCACTGTTTCTTTGTCCGTCCTAGTCCATGTCATTCTCCTTCCCTGCCAAGGATACTGGTAGAAGGCGCCACGGGACAATATGCTAGCAGGTAGAGGCAATGCATCGCTTCGTCGTGTGGCACTATTTCCTTGAAACGAGGAAATTTTGGAATCCAGTACGCCACGCCATGAACACTAAATTGAAGTTAGCCGAAACAAAGTGAAACTCACCAGGCCGCTTGTCAGAATGATAGTCGGAAGGCTTGTAGACGTCTCCCCATAGCTATACTCGTCGCTCTAGTCGTGGCCACGATAAGAAACACAGCCACTATGAATGAGCGACTCTTCCTCGTCAAGTAGGTTTGGGCGCACACGGATACAGAATGTCATCCTGCTCACCTCCACATTCTCTAGAAGCTCCATTACGATGTCTGGCATTGCTGCGGAATCCCCACAACGATGAAAGAGGGAACACTGAAGAAGTGTTGCTCAAACATAGAAGGCTTCTCTCTTCATTCTCTTGCAAACTAGATACTTGAATAAAAGTGAATATTTTCGCGATCGCGCTCGAGTAGAATTTTGCCAACTGAGACATTTTGGTGATTTTCTCGATTTGTTGGCAAAACACGAAGCCACCTTTTAGCTTGGCGCGGCTCCCATAATGTTGCTCTTGCAACAGGGCTTGCACTTCCGCCCGTTTCATAAAATGTGTTCCGGTTGCAGACATCGGACCTATCTTGTCGAACACTCATTGCAAGTGGAAGAGATCAACCTGGAATGGCGGGTAAAGATCTTTTGAAGAATCAATCGAAAATTTGTGCCCATTCCTGAATTTTTAGGAGGGAAGTGAAATTCCAAAACAAGTGCTCTATGATGCTATGAACTTTCAAGGTGGGAACGCCCTTCGCATATACAATACATCTGACCAGCTGGAAACATGCAGCTCTCGATACCTCTTCATGCCACGAGATTCCGCAGAACCATAATATTGGAAGAATGCACTGCAATGATGTTTGAAAGTCAACAAAACTGTGGATACTTACTGATGCAACTGCCCTGCCAGTCCCATTGACCATTTTGTCCACAAGTTGCGCTATCTTCCATATTTTTGGCATAACCATCAGAGCATCTTACAATTCCTTGGTCGGTAATTGATGTGACAGAAGGCAGATGATTATATCTGCAAGCTGATGTGAGATACCAGACAAATCATAGAATACACTAGATCAAGTGGATCAAGTTAAAAAAATCACATCTGGCGTAAGACTAGAGACCGCGTTGTCCGCAAGTTCAAGCGTATTTGTGTTTTGTTCGTCGGCACTCCGTGAATCCACGTTGCGCTATAACAAACGACATATTACTGTGACGGCAACACTCGACGTGATCGCCAACGATGAGTACGATGACGGAAACGACACTAGCAGAGGAGTTTCTAGCAGTGAGTTGAGTGAGGGAGAGAGCCGATGATAGGTATGGGAGAGCGTAATAGTCAGTGTGGGCGTGTGTTTCGACCTCGTAAGTCTCCTGTGTATAATCATTTGGTATCTCGTGATGAATGTTGCCAGGTGTATTCTGATTCATGTTTCTCCTTTTTGTGTCGTGGACGTCATGGTGATCAGCTACAGGTGAAAGTGTTGGAGTCTGTTTTCCAATGCATTCATGAGCCTCACCATTGTGTTGAAAAAGAGAGTATTATCTATTTAAAATTGTTCAGCTAGTAGAATGGTGTGTTAGCCTGGCCTTGTCGGGCCAGAATTTTGTCAATAAGGTTGTTTCATAACTGAATGTTGTACTTTTGAGTGCTTGATTGTTATCGTTCACGCAAATTGTTTTTTTTTCTCTTTCCAGGCGGTTCACTTCCCTCACTGATCCTTTGTGTTATGAACCCTCTAAGATTCTCTAAATTGTCAGGATCGTACGACCACACGGCACGAGGACAACTGTTTTCCTTTACACGGTATATTTCACTTCATCTGATAATTAACAATGAACACTAATAACACCAGCTATTTATAGCATGCAAAAACAGCGTACATGCAAAACATAAGCATATAAAACTGGACATAACAGCGTATACAGCAAAAACACACACAGCGCATATAGCGTATGCCATGCAGCAACATCAGCGGTACGGCGGAGTCGAAAGACAACATTGCGACGAATGCAACGCCATAAGCGCGAAGGCCTTTCCCAATTGAGAACTGGTGGTTTGCAACATTCTCCCCACCAAAGGGCTTCTCACCGCCGTACAACAATGCACACAAGTCAAAAACGATCCGGGGCTCTGACTACGCGCCCAGAACGCGTTATCTCCTGCTGCCGTGGTGGTGGTAACGGTGCTGACGGTTCATACGCTGGCTGCTGAGGGACGATAGCAAGTTGAGCGGTATCTGCAAGCCCAGGAGCCACGTCCTGTGACGATACTTCTAACGGCACTAACCTTTGGATCGGCCTCAACAGGGTACTGGTACTCAACTTAACCTTGGCAACACGACGCTTACCATCTCGACCAGGGAATAACTCGATGATCCGTCCCAAACGCCAGAACTGTTTGCGCTTGGTATCATCGAGAACAAAGACAACATCACCCACAGCTAAAGGGCACGACATGGTCTGTTGGTGTTTGTTCAGCTGACTTAGGTACTCCACCTCCCAACGATTCTTGACATGCTCCAGTGTCCGACTGAGGTAACGCAATCTCGATGACATCTGCGCAGCGTCCAGGGTACCTGCTGGCTTCTCTGACGACATCCAGATGTCACCCATCATCATTGCAGGGGTTACTGGTGGCTCATCCAGGCTATCAGACACATAAGTTAGCGGACGACTATTCACCACTGCTTCAACCTCATACAAGAGGGTCTCAAGCTCCTGGACCTTCAGAAACGCTGTTCCCATTACCTTTTTCAAGGCACTCTTCACTGTACCAACCATTCGCTCATAGAAGCCTCCATGCCATGGTGCAGCTGGAGGATTGAACATCCATGGCACACTCAGTTTGTCAGATGCCGCCTTGAACGTTGTGGCGTTGTCAGACCTGATCCGAGACGGCAAACTACGTCTCGCGACAAACTTCCGAAATGCCATCAAGAATGACTCGGTACTTAAACTATCGACCACCTCCAAGTGAACTGCTCTGGTGGTGGCACACACAAACAATGCTATCCATACCTTCGGAGATGACTCACCACGGCGCACGTACAACGGACCAGCATAGTCGATGCCGGTAGTTGCGAACGGCCTCTCGTGAACAACTCGGTCTTCTGGCAGCGGCGGGCAGACTTCTGAGGCAGCCTTAGCCTTGTAGCGGCGGCATGTAACACATCGCTGAGTAATGTTGCGTAGCGCTCGTCGACCACCGATAATCCAGAATTTCTGACGGATGAACGACAAGACTCCTTCTACACCTTGGTGCATCCTTTCAACATGCTTTTTCTCCAACAGCAACTCGGTCAGATGATGTTTGCCTAACAGGACTGGGTGCTTGGCTCCATACGCCAACTCGCTGTGCTGAAGTCGTCCCCCGGCTCTGAGCACTCCATGCTCATCCAGAAACGGTGCAAGCTGATACACCTTCGACCCGGGCTTCACTGGTTGACTTTGTTTGATCAGCTCAAGATCCTCAGCGAAACATGCGGCTTGAACGATGCGGTGCAATACGTTGTCTGCTGCAAAATAGAGTTCAGCACGAGGCTCAGTGTGCTTCCACTGCAACATCCGAGTCACCATGCCCTGTGCCCTCGACCATTTACTGAATCGGAGCCACCATTCCTTATCAGATTCTCGACTACAGGTGGTGGCTGACACTCGTACCTCTACACTGGACTCATCTGTAGCTGCGGTTGAGGATGCGGTGGGCCAGTCATTGGGCTCCGTGATCCAGGTTGGTCCGCCCCTCCAGAACGGACTACGGATCTGCTGTGCACTACTCCCACGCGACGGTAAATCTGCTGGGTTGTGAAGGCCCGGGCAATGGTTCCACACAATGCCGACCTTCTTCGATATCTCTTGGACTTGACTGACGCGGTTAGCCACAAATGTTTTCCATTTGTACGATGGATTACTGATCCAATGAACGGTAGTGAGACTGTCAGTCCAGCCATAGACTTGCGTGATGGTCACACGCAGCTCCTTCACCACAAACTCAGCGTAGCGAGCCGCTAGACATACTGCTTGTAACTCAAGGCGGGCTAACGTGGGCGGAGACACAGGTGCCACTTTGGCCTTGGCAAATACCAAGTGCGACTGTCCATTGACGACGGCATACAAACAACATCCAAACGCTTTCTCACTGGCATCGGCGAAGGCATGAAGCGCAATCGGCGTGTCAAGATTGCAGCAAATCCAACGTGGTATGTCAATGCTCACCACTTCGGCTAACTCTCCCCACCATTGCGCACATGCGGCTGCGATGCCATCAGGCAACATATCATCCCAGTCGCCTCCGACTTTCCAGGCTTGCTGTAGCAGTATCTTTCCCGGCACAACTGCCGGTGCTGCTAGACCTAGCGGATCAAACACTGATGCAACACACTTGAGGAGGGATCGCCGGGTCCAAACAGACGGCCTATCGGACTCGCCTAGCGCTGCTATGCTGAGCAAGTCATCACTGGTTTTCCATTTCAGACCGAGGACTTTATCTCCGGCCTCTGGATCGCACGGGATTTCGTTGCCTCGCCACTTGCGTAACTCCATGCCAGCATCCGTAAGCACACGCACGCTGAACTCTTGCATCTCCTTGGCTTCCGAGGCATTTGAGACACTAGAGACCAAATCGTCAACGTAGAAACTCGTGAGCAAGAGATCAATACGATCTCGCTCTTTGGGTGCAGACAACGCCCGTAGCTCCTTCAAGTGATGCCGAATCACCGCAGTAAGCATGTACGGCGAGCAGTTTACGCCAAATGGCAGTTTCGTTAGCCTCCAGGTTAACAGTTCATCGCTGTCGCTTCGACCGGGCCACAAGAAACGCAGGTACGGACGGTCTTCGGGATTAACCGCGACCATGAAGAAAGCCTTGCGGATGTCCGCTTGCAGCGCGCTCTTATATTCACGGAACCGTAATAGTGTAATAGGTAGCCGAGTGGTAGGCGCGGTGAAATCAACAATAATTACTTTTATTCTACTTTCAGGTACACACCTGAGATATAATCGTTCGTGAAAGAAGAAGCGGCAAAATAACTGACTTTCTCTCCGGTGCTCACCTAGAGGTTGAATCCTTCTTCTTCGAGTTAGCTTTCATTGCTATCTAATCTAATCTAATATTCCTCTTCTATTCATCAAAACAGAAATGCGCAGCCGCTTTTATGCAGCAGACGCCGTACGCTTACATACGGAGATACACTAAATATACATCAGGCAAAGCTCCGTATTAGTTCCGTACTGCTTCCGTATTGGTCGGGCAGGGATACTACACCCTCCCTTCCTACAGATAATCACGCCCTCGTGATATTCAAAAAATTAGTGAGGAGTTACGAACACAGCGTCACCCGGAAGATGGCAAATTATATCGGAAATGATAACGTTTAGAGTAGACAGAAGAAATGAACTGATAACAAATCATAAAGTAGAAGCACACCAGGTTCACACGATCTCACGGGGTCAAAAGGGGAAAGAACTGTCCTCCAAATAGGACCTGAAAAACCACAGCACTCTTGCTGCACAACGCTGGCACAACCCGCCAGGAACATCGCAGTTCAAAAACCGAACTGAATACACTATAACTATAAGGGGCGTTGTCACACACATTGTCCCACGTTAGCTGGGTAAACCGTGGCTCACCATGATCAGACGCCTACCAAACTAAACTGGATTCACACACTCGCATAAAGGAAGACTGAAGAGAACAGGAAGACTGAAGGAAGACAGGAAAGAAAATGCCATACCTGGAATCAGCGTTAGTAACCACGGCGGCGGCTGGAGCTATGGCGGAGGGCGAGCCAGGTTTTATCTTCATCTTCGTTGAGCCGGTCACTCAGAGCGGCTAGCTCGGCGTCAGACAAGTAACCTCCCTCCTCGTCTTGAATCGTGGTCTTCACATTGTTGATAGCATCGCTTTGCGCGACGCAAAGAGTGATGGTCTAGCCAGGAAGAGTGTTGACGAAAATCTGCATCCCACCACGGAGACGAAGCACCAAGTGAATAGTGGACTCGTGCTGAACGTTGTAGTCACTCAGGGTTCGGCCGT